TATGCTATTTAATTATAATTATAATTGGGCAGCACGGTGGCACAGTGGGGAGCATGATCACCTCACTGCAAGAAGGTCGCTGGTTCGCGCCTCAGCTGGGCCAGTTGGCATATCTGTGTGGAGTTTGCATGTTCTCCCTGTGTTGGCTTGGGTTTCCTCTAGTTGCTCTGGTTTCCCCCACAGTCCAAAGACATGCGGTACAGGTGATTTCAATAAGATAAATTGTTCATGGTGTGTTTGTGAATGTAAGAGTGTATGGGTGTTTCCCGGTGTTGGGTTACAGCTGGAAGGACATCTGCTGCGTAATACATATGCTGGATAAGTTGGTGGTTCATTCTGCTGTGGCGACCCCTGATAAATAAAGGGACTAAGCCGAAAAGAAAATTAATAAATGAATTATTATTTCTATTATTTTAAATATTGAAATATAAATATTTTAAATATTTTAAATATTGAAATATTGTTTGCATGTATCAATGCAGAATTATTCACATTAGCATTGTGATGCACTAGAAACACCATTAGAATTTACATCTATATTGTTTTCTTCTATTAATTGCAAAACTAAATCAAAAAGGTACAAATTTCTGTGAGAACGTGTTGTCCTCACACTCCAGCTTTATGTTTTATGTTGATCATATTAAATCAAAGAAAACAATCCGAAGTTGTTGTTTCAAGTTATATATACCATGATTTTACTGGTCCAGCCCAATAAGGAATAGATTTTCCTCCATGTGGCTCCTGAGCTGAAATGAGTTTGACACCCCTGGTTAAACTGATGGTTACACATTTTAAACTATGGTGCTCTGTTAGCAAACATACTAGTATCTAATGCACGAATAGTGATCTAATACATATAAAAAATGTCTATTTTCAGACTTTCCAAAAACAAAAAAAATGTTTAGAATCAAATGCTGTGATTCATTTTGAAATGCCTATGGAGAAAATGAATGAAAAACAATTTCAAGAACCAGTGCAGTTAAAAATGTGGGCCATCACCGTTGTGCTAGAAATATGATGAGATTTTAAAATACCAGCCCAAGCATTAAAGGCTCCGTATGCAGTGGAAACACATGATCTTGTTTGTACAGAACTCTGTTGCATAAACCGTCTAACGCTGATGGCAACAGCTGTGGAGTTAGTCCTGCTGTGATATTCATAAGACCAGTGGACCGGTTGTCTCTTGTCTACAGTCACGCATTGAGCAGCAAAAAAAGAAAATGAGGAATTGTTCGCCCTCTACAGATTATGGCCTGTTTTTATAGCAGATGCTGCTATTTCTTTCCACAGCAAGCATAAAATAGTATAATACATTGACTTATATACTTTCAGACACAAGATGAGGAGTTTAGAACATTGTATTAAACAGGTTATTTTCATGAGGCAGCCAGCAAAATTGGAGAAAATCTTTTTTTTCACAGTTTGGAGATGTAGCATGCAGCATGATAAAAGATCAGGATTCTTATGTGGGATTGAAGAGGGGTGAACAGAAACAGGTCCAAATTGATGGGATTGTATTTGTTTCAAATTAGGCATAACATTTCACATACTACATAAATGTACTATACCCTACAGAAATGTTAAAATCTCCATAGCTCCCGTCCACCAAACCAAAACCATTATTGTTTTTGCTAACTGAAATTATTTACAATTTTTGACTTTTACTTTTAAATTTAAAAGATTACATGTAATATGTTTCTAATATGAAAATCTGAAACATTAGCTGTGTCCCAATTGGCATACTATCCATTCGAAATAGTATTTGAAAATAGAATTAGTATGTCCCAAATTATAGTGTGTTAAAAAGAATATGTCAAAGGTTCCTGGATGGTTTAAGTCTAGAAGCATCCATACTGTAACCACTGATACATTTCGCGTTGGACGTGAATTTGATTAGAACTACAAATGCGGGTAAACAATCTAAATAAACTACAAATAAGATTGACACGCAAGACCAAACATTAAGTAGAGAGGCTTTGGTAAAGATGTTTGTATGGGTGTTAATTAATAAGTTATGTTTTCTCTGTTATATTTCATCTGCAACAATACTGAACTTATATAAAGATGTGTTTGGACAATAACGTCTGAAAAATAATATTAAATAAAAATATAAAAAATGCTAAAAAAAACATGAATATATCCTATAAAATCCCTGCACAAGCGGAATGACTCAATATGTATTGAACTCTGACGCATATAATCAAAGCCAGCTCTCTCATCCTTCTATAAATAAAAGAAAAATATTTTAAAGTTATCAGGAAGGGATAATTTAGATCATTTAAAAAGGCTGATTCATTCAATCTTTATGAATGGATCATTGAATCATTGGCTTACTTGATTCATCAAAACAGATTCATTCAGAAATGAAACACAGCAGACTTTAATTGAGGTGCCAATCATTTGGTCTTCTCCAGCTTTGTTTTAAAGTATTTTTGTTAAGAAAACATTTGTAATCACATGCACATGCTAATATTCAAGAAAACAGCATTTCTGCTTGTGTGGCACTAATTATGTCATATTTATGTAATAAACATAAAAAGTACGGATACACTGATCCCGATCGGATATTGGTTCGGTACTGCATATTTTTGTTTTGAAAGTGTCAGCAGATACCGGAGGGCTACGTGCTGTGTCTTAGTGAAGCATCAAATGCTTCATTCACGAACCGGCTGCGCAGACGCAACGTGCTCCTCTCTGTAAAATTATTCTGTAATATTAAAAGTTTCTGTTATCTCAATTTTCCAACTGATTTGATTCTTCTGAGGGGAATACATTCAGTACTATCAAAAGTTTGTAAAGCCTGGATCATTGTGGTCTAGGTGGTAGATTAAATTAATAAAAATGAAACTGACAGGCGCAATATGGATTGTCATTAACAAAAATTATTTAGCCTAATATAGGCTACTATGAAACTGTGAATATTTCACTGTAATTTTATTTATATCAATCTTTTTTTTTAAAGACTAATTTGTGTTTTGATTAGGGTCAGTAGTCGTAGCCTACCAACGACAAAGAAAAATCTTAATATTTAAAAAGGAAACATAAGCTGGGCCACAACAAATGAATGTCATACCTAGTGCTGTCAAAATTAGTGCATTAACGCATGCAATTAATTAGAAATATTATTATATATAATATTAAAGTTAAATATTTGCAGTTTTTTTTTTTTTGTCTGTTGTGGTCTACGTGTGTTTAACATGCAAAGAAATATGGATATGACGAAGGAAGCACTTTTAGAAGGAAAGTTTCAGTATAAAACAACTAATGTTGCATTGCCAGGCTATACAGCTTTTCCTCCAGAGTTTCATCTAATTTTGTATGTTTAAGTTTTAATCCTCCGACATTTGTTTTAATGGAATTTGATACCGCATGGCAAAAGGAAAGAAAAACCTCAAACCTTAATCATATTAAAAGCGGAGTTTTGGTGTCCATGTAAATGTACTTAGCGAAAATGCCAGATAATGTCGCGGGCTGTTAAAGAGCTTATTTTAATCAAATTTAATGAGCGGGATCATGCGTGTTGAATCTGAAGTGAGTCATTCAGGCTGTGCTGTGCTGCGCGCGTTGTTTGTGTGTCCATTTCTTTCAAAGTTGTTTAAATGTTTAGAGATGGTGTGACCAAAGTCCAGACAATGCGTACCTGTGGATGCCTTTAATTTACCGCTTGATGCTTCTTACGTCCTTGTCGCAGCACCAGTGGCAACAAAAATAGGCAACGAAATGCGTATGCTGATCCAGTAATCCTGCTTGTGAGAGACTGTTCTCTCTCTCAGCTCACATCATTTAAAAGAAAAGGGCCACATTGTCCCCCCACATTGACTGGACTGTCTTAGCAACTGGCTCAATGTAAAGGAGGACTAAGCTACATTGTCTCTACTTTATAAATAATGTTCTCAACTATCAGCAATACAACTTTTTTAATGAATACAATTGTTTGTATTGAATACTTTATTAATATTATTATAATTTTCCAATTTCTATATTTGCAGTGCCTGTATTTTGGCTTTTTTTCAGTCCACTTAGAATCCAACATGGAAATATTTTTTTTTTGTTTATTGGCATTGATTGATTTGAAATTCAAATGGCACTAACATGCTTGTGTTTCTATTTCGGTAATAAATGTGGCTGTCAAGCCAGGATCTTGAAGGTTTATTGTGGATATGTTGTTTACATGAAGAAAACTGTGTTACAAGTTAAACAAAAATTCTAATAAACAATTATATTTTAAATCTAATAAGTTTTTTTGTCTCAGTTTTAAATTTGAATAGCCAAAATTACAAGTTTCAGTCTTTTAAATGTGATTAATCGCAATTAATTGTGATAAATTGCAAAAAAAGGTGTGATTAATTAGTATTTTTTTAATCGATTGACAGCACTAGCCATAACGAATGCTCAAGTAATGTAGCCTAGTTTACAACAAGCATCATGTTTTTAGTTAGATTGTGCCGTCTGTCATGTATAGGCCGGTAGGTCTGTTATTTTTACTAAAGAAGATATATTATTTGAGTTTAGCACTAGAACAATGGAAACTGTATTATGTCAAAAAAAAAAAAAAAAAACATTTAAAATAACGGCAAAGTATCGGGATCGGATCTGTATCGATCGATACTCAGAATTTTGGCATCATGATTGGATCAGTTCTAAAAAAATGGTATCGGTGCATCTGTAATAAAAAGGGATATTTTTTACTTTCGTAACTTGAATCACAAGGTCATTCTAATTCTTTTTGCAAAATGAGTGGCATGCTCCACACATCGTTCAAAAAACTACTATGATCATTGAAGATTATGAATACTTAATAATAATTTTTACTGACAATTACACTTTAACACAGACATCATAAAATCAAATGTAGCCTTATTCTTGTAATACAGATTTTACATGTAATTTTCAGAAATCTGACCGCATGGTAACAATGCCCTTGTCAAACATGAAAGTCAATAACACCTTTCAGTTAAAGTAAACGCACCAGATGCCCAGACTGAGCTTTGACCTCTCACCTCCTGCTGTGTGATGTCCAGGATGCGCTCCAGGGTTAATTCCTCAAAGTACAGACGGTCACACTCATCAAAGTCCGTACTGACCGTCTCCGGGTTATGGTTCACCACCACTGTACGCTTGCCCATCTGTCTGAGGGCACGAATGCTTGACACGGCACACCAGTCAAACTCCACACTGCTGCCTGTGGGGGAGAGAAGCCAAACGCTAGCCTGACACACTCCTGCACTAATTGCTCATTAAAACTAATGAAGACAGTACATTAACGGGTTGGTGTGAATTGAAAAATCACAGGATTATTAGGGTTAAAAAAAATAGATTTCAGCTCACCGATGTGATATGGACCGCAACCAACAACCATGGTGCCATGGTCCTTAAAATCCAAATCATGCTCCTGTCGACAAGGACAAAAAGAAAAATTGGATAATTACTGGGTTTATTCTTATGCTTATCTTTTATTTTATTTTTGACTTGTATTTTTTATTTAGATTTTTTATTAGCTCACAATTACTATTTTTTTCTACTTTATTATCCAATAATTTTTTTTAAAATAGAATTATAAAACTCAGTGCTTCCCACACATACAGTTGAAGTCAAAATTAACAACCCCCCCCCCCCCCCCTTTGATTTTATTTATTTATTTATTTATTTATTTATTTATTATTTTTAATTTTTTTTATAATTCCTAAATGATGTTTAACAGAGCAAGGAAATTTTCCGGTAAGTCTGATAATATATATTTTTTTTTTCTGGAGAAAGTCTTATTTGATTTATTTTAGCTAGAATAAAAGCAGTATTTTTTTAATCCATTTTAAGGTCAAAATTATTATCCCTTTTTAAGCTATATTTTTTTTCAATAGTCTGCAGAACAAACCATTGTTATACAATAAATTGCCTAATTACCCTAACCTGCCTAGTTAACCTAATTATCCTAGTTAAGCCTTTAAATATCACTTTAAGCTGTATAGAGGTGTCTTAAAAAATATTTAGTGAAATATTATTTATTGTCATCATGGCAAGGATAAAATAAATCAGTTATTAGAGATGAGTTATTAAAACTATTATGTTTATAAATGTGTTGAAAAAAATCTTCTCTCCATTAAAGAGAAATTAGGGAAAAATAAACAGGGGGGCTAATAATTCTGACTTCAACTGTAGACTTCACTTGGGCGGGCCGCCCAGGTATATTAACGGTCACCCCAGTATATTTAGTGACACCTTTTTAAACTATTATTATCAACCTTTTACACTTTTTTCGTATCTGCCCAATATAAACAAACATCCGCGAGCGATGTTTGTAGTGGAAAATCTTCTCTCCTTTACCTGTTTTATAGACCATTTCAAAATAGTGATGTCGTTGGGCCATGAACATTTCGTGCTTGTTATCAAACTATTGCATAACTGTAACAAGAGGCAATTTAATCATAGCTTAATGTTGAAACAGCAACCATGGCATTAGTTATCAATATGTGGCCCTTTTTGGATTCTCGGAAGCTTTAGAAAATACAAATGTGAAACAGGAAATGCGTTGGGACCATTGTTTTTGTTTAAATCCCTCAAAATGGTCTATACTGCTCGTTCTGTGAGCGCGAGAACTGTCAACACTCCCACAGACAGTCTCATGTGCTCTGCAGAGCCACAGAGACCTGCAACTTTTTGCGTCCGACTGGAGTTTCTAAATCTACTAAAATGTCTGGGATTTGGTTTTGCTTTCGTTTTCTATGCTGTCGTTAATTTTAAACGCACAGCCACGAGAGTGGGAGAGACATTAAATAATTCATTCTTTAATTTGAACAACTAAGAAAAAAAGAAAAAAGAAATTACATCTAAACTGGCTGCAAAATATTTCTACACTGGGCCCATAGCCAGACTGGTGAAAGAGGTGGTTCTTTTTTTCTCAAAAAGTGGACTTTTTGCAGTTATTCGACCTCATTTTATTATGAGGTTTAAATACTGTGACATTTAAAAATATATGTTTTTTGCTGGATTAGTTTGTTAGACAGTGAAACTTTTTGATGTACCAAAAACATTTTCTAAAGACTTAGAATAACAAAATATGATAAATAGGCTAAATATTTTTACAAATTCATAACATCACATATCAAAATCTGTTAAATTTTTTAATTAAAAACTGTGGCCTATTGTCGGTTATTAGTCATATAACAAACTGACCAGCACGTTCAACTTTCCCCAGTCGGAATTTGTGCATTTGAATAAAAAAAAAAATGTATAACAATGATAATAACGTAGAGCTTCATAATTTTTCTATTTTTCTAGTCTCTGTTGTAAAAAGTACATTTGAAAAGTTCATAGATAACATCATTAGCCTAATCAGTATTATAAGTAACTTTAATATAGGCCATTTTTGGTGGCCATTTTATTAGTCTTTTTTTTCTTTCAAGTAAGGTCCAAGATTTAGAATAAAAGTTACCTGTAAAATGTTTTCTCTTTTGAACAACATTACAGTGAAAGTTGACTTTACTTCCACTTCTTACTTTAGGTTTTAAAGCCGTTTTGATGTGTTATTTTGATAATTTGGGATGACAAAACAGTCAAAATAGGACAAATGAGCTAATGTATGAGACAAATACTGGACCTTCGTCAGTAGGGGGCTTGGTCTTCTGAACCACCCGAAACAACCCATTTGTCACATTTAGTTAACTATTTATGTGCTGTGGGTAAAAGGTGTGTTTCAATCCGGCTACCACCGCTTGATATTTCAAACCTGTGGGAAGCACTGAAACGATGATAAATAATTTTAAAAATATATGTTTTAAAACTTTATAATAGCTTATAATGCACTTAAAACAATCATTTCGTCTTCAAAACATTACTCCTACTACAACTTTTTTGCTTGCTAAATACTGAATATTGTACATTTACTGTAAGTAATACATGCAAATTGGCAGTAGATATGAATAGTCAGGCTAAAAAAAGTTTTCCTTTTACACTGACAAAAAAGCTGGACGATAGGCTGGAAAAGAATAAAAATGGCCTGACAAGAATAAAAACTCCCTGACACATGAAAGACCTAACATATGGTCTGAGTAGAGTGGTTTACCTGACCATGGTAAGTGCAATATAAATAGTTGGTGGCTGCAGGGTATTCAGCAGCAAGTGTATCGATCTGAAAAAGAGCACAAGATCCATTTATCATGTAGCAAAGGTCACTATGACTGCTGTATCTCAGGTCCTGCTTCCACCTGATATTACCATGCATTTCCAGTAGTCCAATCACATGTTTTCGGCCAAGACGCACTACCATTTCCACTTTGTTTTTACAAATGTTGAAACTAGTCTCTCATAAGTAATAACTTTGTATCTTTCATTCATTTAATTCTATTAGAGTTCAGAGTAACTATTAGAGTTCAGAGTAATGACCACATGTACAGTATTTTAACGTCCACAACTCCTATTAAAAACATACCTTTCTGATAGTAAAAAAAAAACTTTACCTTGGACATGTCTTTCAAAACAACATTTTCACAGTGTTAAAAGAAACTTGTTCTATCCCTTAACAAACAAGCTAAGGTACGCATCTTTGTGTGTTCTATATCTCGTACACAAATGTATGTTATATTACCAAAAAAACATAATATTTTTAGGGTAAGAACTTAAAATAAGATTACAGAAAGCTTAATTCTAAAATTAAAATCGTCAGCCAGCGCGAGGGGTTGGCGACTGCTCGAAGGCTGAGCTGGACCACATGCGTGGCTTGACGCACAAGTATAAATCAGTTTTTAGAACTTACATCATCAGTATTATGTGCCTTATTTATAAAAAATGTGCTTAATTATATGAACAAAGGCTACATTTTCAATAAGTTCATTCATTCATTTTCTTGACGGCTTAGTCCCTTTATTAATCTGGGGTCGCCACAGCGGAATGAACCGCCAACTTATCCAGCAAGTTTTTATGCAGCGGATGCCCTTCCAGCCACACCCCATCTCTGGGAAACATCCAGACACACATTCACACACACACTCATACACTACGAACAATTTAGCCAACCCAATTCACCTGTACCGCATGTCTTTGGACCGTGACCGGAGCACCTGGAGGAAACCCATGCAAAGGCAGAATGAACATGCAAACTCCACACAGAAACGCCAACTGAGCCGAGGTTCGAACCAGCAACCCAGCGACCTTCTTGCTGTGAGGCGACAGCACTACCTACTGCGCCACTGCCTCGCCCACATTTTCAATAAGTAACTTGTATACAAAGTAATAGAACTATTTTGTAAACTATTATTTTTTTCTTATTGTATTGATTTTACTAACATTTTAGCACCAGGGGTCTGCGACCATGCCAAGGCTGTGCGCTTATGTGTGCACTTGACGCAGAAGTATAAATCAGTCTTTATGACTTACATCACCTGTTTTGTAACTGTAACAGTCTACCTCGATTTAGCATTGTCCACTTGTCATAGGACTGACATAAAAATTCAGCCTAATACCAGGTGGAAAGGAGCCTTAGTCATAAAGATATTACTGGCAATAAGTACAAACCTGTTTGACCCAAGGTCGGATGTTCTGGTTTAGCCTCAGCACTCGAGCTTCTCCCTCTGAGATGTCCATTGCCTGACCAACCTGACGGTCTGAGAAACCATCCATCTTGGCCTTCAGTAGTAGATCTCTCGGCACTGTGGCACTGAAGGAAACAGCATTTAGAAACTCAACACAATGCACTGACCTGAAAAATTACTAAGCAGAATCTTAACTATGTAATGTTGCTCTGAACTGCTCGGTTACAGAATGTACAACTTTCTGATCTGCTTTTAAAACATTTTTTTTTTGTAAATGCATGTGAAATTATCAGAGGGAAAATGTTTTTGAGATAAATAGCAAACCATAGACCTTTGATCATCACAGAGTTCAAGTCTCAGTGTACATGGAAGGAAAGAAAATCTCCAAAATAAACCCTCGCTAAAAATGCTTAATACTTGTTTTCACATCAATAAACAACATTTGAACTAAGATCAAAGGGAAACTGAATTAAAACTTGTTATTTTTTTTCCTTGATATTGATGCTTTATTAGCTGTGCATGGGCATAAAGCAATTCAGGTGATCAAAACATCGGTTTAACTTTTTGATCTATGTTGATTTAAAAAAATACCACTCTTTAATTTTTTTAGCAATGTATGCAAGAAGCCCTCAGTGCATTTATCAACATGGCAAATAGCATTAAAATCAGCAGGAGTGTGAGACAGTAGCAAAGGACAAACAGTGACAAGCACTCCACACCATCCCACACACCAAAAGTGAGACTTTACTCCATATTGTGCTTAGAAAGGTCAGTACTCGACTGAAAGTAGCCAAGTAATTAAAGGGACAGTTCACCAGTTAAAGTGAATTATGAATTACAAATAATGTTCAGTTTCTTGCACAAACTATTTATTTTACTTCCGAAGACCTTGATGTACTATAAGGAGGTTTGTTTTTTTGTTCGTTTTTGACTGCCTACATTATAGATCTATATTTACCTTCAAATTGAATTGTTAAAACATGCCTGAAGTAAATATGCCTTTTTATACAACAATTCTGTCTGTTCTCGAATCTGGTTGGCTGATAGCTGTGAGATATTAAAGCAACACCAGCACTCGAACAGCCTTTTCACCCTTGTGCATTACTCCGTCCACACTAGGACTAAAGAGGGACTAAACAACTTAATACAGTTTGACAAATATTGCAGCTGTTGGAAAACAGAATATACTTTTGAGGCTTTTTTAGTCACAAATGTAGTTGATTAGACTGCAACTATGCAGTTTATTTATAAGGATAGTGCCTATTTTAAAATATTTATCATTTCGGAGATTCAGTGTGTTGGCAGCCATCAGCCTGTTGTACTAAGGAGAGCAAAGACGGTTGATGATCCACCACAACATGGCAACAGAGAAAGCATAATAAGTCCTTAGGGGAGAAAAACTGATCAGATCATTATAAAACAGGTAAGTCGATCTCTCTCTCTTGTTTGTTGTAGTGGTGTATTTATACTATTGTAATCTGGAAGTGTTTGCTTTGCTTTGGCTTTTTAAGGGTTAATTATTTTGATCTCCCAATTGCAACAAAAAAATACTGGGAAATCTCTGTAGACTGATGGCAATTCATGTCGTTCAGCCTTATAATCTTAAATTGTGAGCAAAATCAGCTGTTTTGTCATCAATTCAGACCAGGGGTGTCCAAACACGGTCTAGGAGGTGCTTTGAGACTCTCAATGTTTGATTTTCTTTTTATATATATGATTATGCCATCAAACTGCTATATAAATCCAATATTACACTCAAAGCAGTACGCTATGGCTGTTTATATGGCTGTTTGTCACTGGTGAGATACAAAGGGAGCACTCACACTATGCTATCCGAACCGTGCCCATACCCAGATCGTTTGAGAAGTGTGAGTGCTCTAAATCAGGCTCAGCCACGGTTTAATTGGCCGGCCCTGGCCCGGTTGGAAGATGTGTGCCAGAGTGCAGTCACCTTGGGCACTTTGGTTTGTAGTGTGATTGTAAAGCACGCCTGAGCTGAAACTGAAGACGAGATATGACTTTTAAAGGACTGTTTCATATGGATTTATGAATTACTGTTCAATGAACGCAAACTGTCGTATATTATTAAAGATGCAAACTTCTCACTGCACGACAACTGCACCTTTAGCAAACCTCCTAGTTCCTGCAGCACGAGAACGTTATGATTGTTTATGAGCGTCAAAAGTGGCTGATCTGTTCGGCGAAATATTTTCGGCGTAATAACGACTAAAACAATATAACTAATGAAATCTCCACTGTGCTGAGCGAGAGTGCTTCTTACTGAACAGCGCATCATCGATGACGTAAGCGTGCTCCGGCCCAAATGCGATGTGAGTGCAGCCCATTGGGGGAGAAGCAGGGGGGACAAGCGTGATTCGACCCAGTTCAAGCCAACTGTACATAGTGCGAATATGCCTAAAGCACTCGGAGTGCGACCTTAAGCCAACACACACCTCCCATCAGTGCAGATATAGAGCCATATCGCACTGCCACGAGTGTGATATTGCTTATTTCAAAACCAGCCAATTATACAATTGCATAGTCATTAGACACACATATTTCACTGCAATATACATATTTCACTTCATCAGAAGTGACCACTCAGAATTAAGACCCTGCTAAATAAGAAATAATTACTCATTTACACCAAAATTTTGCATATAAAAACAAATCAAATTCTCATTACTATTTTGTTTTCTGTCATGGGTAATAAAAATTCCAAAATGTATTTTTACTTATGTCACAAATCAGACTCTCCTGAAAACTGTGAGTTTGTATCAAGCAATTTCAAGTTACAAGCTACCCATTCTGACAGTATTCCTTACAATTCAGAGAAAAAAGTAACAATTGTTATTTAAAAACTTAAGATAATTATAAGCTTTCAAACATTACTATCATAAAGCAATAAATGCCCATTTTAAAATAATAAACACAATAAATAATATTACATATTGTACAGCATATATAATTTCAGTAATTTAATGAGGCATTGACTATTTTTGTCAGCCTTAATCATTAAAAAGAAATCTTACTGCTATTGACAAAATAACATTAGTATCACAATACGTGTACATTTCTTAAATGCAGTGATTTTTCTAATCTATGTTAAAAGAGCAGGCTTGGGATGTAAATTTCTATAAATTTCCCATGATCAATCACATGCACCACAAAACAATGCATATTCATGATATACAAGTTTATTCAAGCTAGGCAGATTAAATGGATTATCAGCAATACATCTTTGATTAATTACTGGCATCTGTAATAGCAATTATTTACCATGGGTTGATTTTTTTACCATCATAAGCTGGTTGTTTACACCAGTGTTTCCCAACCCTGTTACTAAAGGCACATTAATGGTACACATTTTTAACCTCTCCCTGATCAAACACATCTAAATTAAGTAACCAGAACATTAAAAGAGGCTCCAAAACCTGAAGTTAAAGGGTCAGATAAGGGAGAAATATGTACTGCTGGTGTGCCTTCAGGAACAGGGTTCGGAAACACTGGTTTACACACATTGTTAACACACATCTGTGTTCAAAGCCCATGCAAAAGTGAATGCAATGTAACAGGTCCCCTTAAAAGAAGAGTTCACCCTAAAATTAAAATGGAGTCACAATTGACCACCCTCAAGAAGTTCCAAACCGTCATACATTTGTTTCTTTTGTTCGACAATAAAAATATATATATATTTTGAAAAAGCTGAAAGCCTGACCTGCATCCACTGATCATAGTACATAGGTTACAGGTTTCCATATTTCTTCAAAACATCTTCTTTTGTGTTCAACACAGGTCAAACAGGTTTAGAACAAGTAAAATTTGAGTGAACGAAGTCTGAACTTTCGGTTTAGGGTGACCTATCCCTTTAATACTCTAAACGTGTCGGAATGTGACCATTACACTCTCTCACCTTTTATACTGACCCAGACGCTGCTCCATCTCAGTAATGTGCTTGAGTTTGTGCAGGAACCACTTGTCTATGGCAGTCAGGTCATGGATCTGATCAACGGTCACACCACTGTGTAGGGCCTTAAGAAACAAAACAATTCCCACAATGTCTAAAATCAGCGGACGCTACAATAAATGGCTCGAACATAAACAGGCTTTTCTAATAAATGACCGTGATCTACAAGAAATTGTTAGGTCATTGTTAAATGAGAAATAATGGCTTCTGATTGTTGGCTGTTAGCCTGCGGTGTCCCTTGAATACAGAACAGAGCCCAGCGAGCTGTAACTCGTTGTTGCTGTAGCGCAGTGGAGGGGGTCAAGGCCCCTGGCCAATCAGGAAGCTGCACTTAATAGCCTGTCTGCTTAATAGGAGGCATAACCTGCTCTGAATACAATTATGTGCCTGGAGACTAACATCCAACTCCAGCCGTACAACAGCAAGACCAACCTTGAGAGTTATTGATGTCTCGTGTCTTTAAAGGATTTAGCCTATTATTCCTTAATATATCTGCCAGCATCGGTGCGTTCATTTGACACCCGCATGACACACTTTTTGACAAGGAGCAGGTTTTCTTCACTTGAGGCAGACCATTTCCAATCATTGTCAAGAGACGTGGAAGGGTTTTGTGTTATCCTGAAGGGGTTTGTTTTGAGATAATGACCGGCTGACTGTACATTACCATAGTACTACACTCACAGTTACTAACAAAACAAATAAATAATTGATCTAAGCTGAAACAGGAGAAGCAGCAGAGGAATTGGAAGCTAGAAAATTGGTTGGCAGCCACAATGGGTCAATTATTCACTTTATTGTATAATAAATAAAACATAATGTAGCAAGACTGGCTAATCAAAATAAAGGCCAGCCAGAATCAATCTTTAAAGCTGTGGTTTACCTAATCGTATGCTATGCGTAATATACCACAGCATATTAATCTTATTTAGAAAATGTACAGTTTCTATTTCCTAGGGCAGGCTTTCTTGGCCTTCAAGAATCAGTTCTGATCCAAATATTACACTAAATGTTTTAGGCCTTGGACAATTCATAATGCATTATCCTGTTATTTGCATTTCAGGACCATTCAGACCTGAAACATTTTAATTTCATAAAATTGTTATATCTAAATAGCTTCACCTAAAACCACAATGCATCTGATCAACAACTAGCCTCTATAATATACGTTTTAGGCATCTCTTCCAGGTAAAACAACCCCAAAAGCATAAAATTTGTTAACAATTACAGAATGGTATTACAAAAAATCTGTGATTAGAAAAATGTTTAAACATTGTTTTTAAGTTCTTACAAAGGCTGCATTTGTTTGAGCAATAATACAGAAATATTGTCAACCATTTTACAGCTTATATCAACAGCCTTCTATTTCAATAAATACAATTTTATAATTGTATAGTATTTGTATTTTATCACAAAGCTGAGTTTTCAGCAGTCATTACTTCAGGTTTCCCTTTCACAGAAAATATTTCTTGACATAATAAAACACATGAGCTGCTTAATATGTTTTTATATAAATTGTGGTACATCTTTGATGAATAAAAAAAACATTTATTGAAAGAAATCTTTTGTAAGGCTGAACATTTCTTCACTGTCAGTTTTGATTAATCAAACGTATCTTTGATACATAAGTCTTAATGAGGTCTTAATTTGAGCCAGGTCTTGCCAGATCCTGTTTCAGTAATCGTCAGTAATTCGTGTTTTGTGTTCTGGTATTGATTTTAATTGATCTGGAATTAACTTTTGCGTGATGAATACCTGCATGTGTGTGGGTAAGAGAGAGAGAGAGAGAGAGAGAGAGAGAGAGAGAGAGAGAGAGAGAGAAAGAGAAAGAGAGAGTGAGAAAGAGAGAGAGAGAGAGAAAGAGAAAGAGAAAGAGAAAGAGAGAATGTGAATGAAAGCGAGTGACAAACAGCCAGCAAAGCTGTGTGAATTGTGTGCATGCACATACATAAAGATAGTCACTTCCGACCAATCAGCTTTCTTACATTTATAATTACTCTCATTGGTTGGTGATTATTGTTTCGTACGCAGTGAACGGTGAAAAAAAAATAATGCCATAGCGGCCTACCAAAATAATATTTGTATTTTCAAAATACCAAAGAGGAAGTCAAGCATATTGACAGTTTTTTTTTGTTTTTTTTATCACAAGTAAATCTGATATTGAGCTTAATCAAAGGAGATCTTGAGAAGATAAAACTGTGTCCCTGGATCAGGATAACGAGAGACAGAAGCAAATTGAGTGAAGTCAACCAGAAAGCATAATGGAAGAGGTTAGGCATGGGACGATAACAGTTTTCAAGGCATATCGCGGTTTGAATAAGTCAAGGTTTTAAAATCGCCAACATTTTCTGTATAACCATTCTTAAGGTATGTGTAAGATTTTTTTATTCACATTTTTTTGTTTTTTTTTGGACAACAAAAACCAGAAAAGATATCCAAAGATGATGTTTTAAATCGTAAAGACATCTGTGTTTTTGAAACTAAAGCAGAAGTCAATGATTCATTTGAATTATTTAGCCTGACACATTTACTGCTCCAAAATATTAGAAATCTTTCACAAAATAAAATATATTGTGTTCAAAGGCGGAAAAAGTTTTTGTTTTTTACCCATACAGGAAATAGAACTTAATTTAGAGCAGTAATTTACAATACGCAAAACCATGATATTTTGTTCTGAATCCTCTACGGGCCCATGCCTAGAAGAGGTAACTGTTGGCTCTTCTTGAAGATTAGACACAGTGAGTTATTTTCATTTGACACATAATAGTGAAGTGAACTGAATGCCTGTAGTGTTAGTAACCTCAACAGTGATGTTTCGTATGATTTATGTTTGAAGCTACATGTTTATTTGTTTTTTCTTTTATCCATGGTTGACCCATGACGTTATGTTGCACAAAATAATTAAAGACTGTTCAGAAATTTGATGTTTTTTTTTTCTCACTATAACCATTTAGTGGCATCATGTTCTGGGAAAACTGAAATTGTAGGGCAGACGTCGTATTTATTCCCTGCTTTTGTTCCGGAAATTATTCATTTACAAAGTAAGCACTGGTCTTAATTACATTTTTTTAATTAATTACCAAAGTTAAGGTGGCGCAGTGGCACAGTGGGAAGCGCTGTCACCTCACAGCAACAAGGTAAATTCGAGCCTCGGCTGGGTCAGTTGGCGTTTCTGGGTGGAGTTCGCATGTTCTCCATGTTTGTATGGGTTTCCTCCAGGTGCTCCGGTTTCCCCCACAAATCCACAGACATGCACTATAGGTCAATTGGGTAAGCTAAATTGTTCGTAGTGTATGTGTGTAAATGTGAGTAATGGGTGTTTGCCAGTGATGAGTTGCAGCTGGAAGGGCATCCACTGCGTAAAACATGCTGGAAAAGTTAGCGGTTCATTCCACTATGGTGACCCCTGATCAATAAAGGGACTGAGCCAAATAGAAAATGAATGAATGAATTACCGATGTTAAACTTCTGAAAAGTAGCATCAACATACTATCCAAACTGCACTCAAAGTGTTATGAATGGTGTAAAAACTGCAGTCTCATTGATTCATAAATCATGAGACTGAATTAAACATGACATTTATATTGAGTTGAGCACATTCCGAATCTATCATCTTGTCTGTACTGCACATCTGGGTCACATACCTGAGCAAGAGAGAAAATACGAGTACTTGAAGGCATGGAAAGCTCTCGCTGCAGGTCCTGCTGCTCTGCCCAGGCTTTTTTCAGAGGCAGACGTGGTACAAAGCCGTCCACTGAGGGATGGCACATCCGCAAAGCCTTCTGGATGCTCTCCTCGAAGCTTCGGCCGACTGCCATGACCTGGAAATAAAAGACGCAGAATTATGGGATGTAGATGAAAGCTCTGCCATTACTGTAAATCAACAGCACTGAATTAAAGGGGTCGCAAACTGAAAACTCAAAATGCCCTTGATCTTTTGACATATGAGAGTTGACTGTGCTATAAAAACTTTCTGTAAAGTTCAGTAATCAGAATTTCTCATTAGTCTAAATACAGCTTATATTGGAGCCAATCTGCCGAAATGATGTAGATTGTGCCACTTTATTATGTAAGAGTGTGTCTAAACTCAGCCTCCAGGGAGAATCAATGCCTGCTACTACATAACGATCTGTTTATTGTAGCTCTGTAGGGGGTAAATACAAGAAATGGTTAAGAGCTGCTCATTCAAGTCTACAAAGAAACTAAGAAACAACCTTAACATCAGAAAAGAGTATATGAAGTTATTTTATTGAATTTACAGACCATCAGTAAAATTTTGGTTGTGTTTATTTTGTTTTATTTTATTTTGTTTTATTTTATTTTGTTTTATTTTATTTTGCTATTTAATTTAATTTAATTTAATTTAATTTAATTTAATTTAATTTAATTTAATTTAATTTAATTTAATTTAATTTAATTTAATTTTATTTTATTTTATTTTATTTATTTTACTTTATTTTATTTTACTTTATTTTATTTTACATTATTTTATTTTATTTTATTGTTCACTTAATTCTAGAGTGGGTTCATTTACAAACAAGGCACAATTTGATAATTTTTTAGAACAAAAAAAAAAAAAAAGATGACTGATGCTGAGCCAAATAAATTTTGGATTTGACAGTTATGTTGAGCCAAACAAGTGTAACTATTTTATATAATAACTGTTCACTATTTACTGAGCTTTTAGCTTTACCGTGCATTAACATGGGGCTTCAGCATCAACACTTAACCGATGGCGTGTCTGATGTTGGGGCTAACGGGATCCTCATTGCAGCATCAGCCAATGAAATTGGTCCGCAATTGACTACTGTCTGAGCTGGTGTATTAAAGCAATCTGATTGGCTGACGCTTGAAAAGCATCCATTGGCGCTTGAAAAGTTAATAAATTCCCAACTTCTGCAGCAAGCAACAACCCTGAAGCAGCGCCGACAGATCCACAATGCAGTTCGCCAATGCCTGACGTCACCCATTAAAAGTGAATGGGAAGCCTTGACGATGGCCCCGTTTAAAGGGCAGATATTATTTATGCTTTTATCCAAAGCGCTGGCGCCCCGTTTGAATGGCCAATATCATTTATGCTTTTATCCATTAAAATGAAGAAGCCATCAACTGTCGATTTACGCATTTTTAAACCACAGTAGAATTAGAATTATTAATGTTCAAATATGTAAAACTGTTATCCAAACATACCAGTGTTTACTTTCCTATAATCCACCATGCCTATTCAGTTGGTTCTAATGAGAAAAGCCTATTATTTTAGAATAAGGAATTACTTCTGAGTTAGCTTTTGGATGCAAACAAATCTTGAGTTTATAAATGAACGTCAGAGAACAGTACAAAATAATATATTTTTTTAAAAAGGTAGTCCGTGACCCCTTTAACCATGACACAGACTTTCGTGAAATTAGCAAGGAAGAATCAAATAATAACTTGGTTACTACTCGATTGGTTTAATTAGAGCAATAAATCGTCAGTGTCTGCACCTCTCCAACACTCTTCATGGCGCTGCCGATCTCTCGAGACATTCCGTGGAAGCGGTCCAGATCCCAGCGAGGAATTTTGGTGACAATGTAATCCAAACTGGGCTCAAAGCAGGCAGTGGTCTGCTCCGAAACAGCGTTCTTTATCTCTGGCAGAGGGATGCCCAGTGCTAGTTTAGCAGCTACGAATGCTAATGGGTAGCTAATGAGAAAGATTCAGAAAGCAGCCATATTACAACAGATACAATTTTCTATAGTATTCAAACTGAAGGAAACTTGTTAAAAGTCTCCAAAATGACATCTCAATTGTTTCTATAAGGGGGAAAAAATGGAAAAACAATAGAACATATATATATTCTATATCTTCTATGTTCTATATGAGTTACTTTAAATTAAATATTTTGTATTAATGCTGCTATTGATGGTTCTTTGTTCCATCCAAGGAAAATATAATACCATTATCGTTCAACTGTACAGTAAGAATCATATAGAGAAATCAATTAAATTGTTAATTGCAATTATGTTTATGACAATTAATTGGAAGCACAGAGTTCATGATTGTGACGAATTGTGAATATTTTAAAATGTAATTTGTGATATTATCATTAGCATTTTCTGTGCTCAGTGGCCATCTGATCATTCACAAATAAAATGAAACATAATTTAGTGATCTTTTTGCATCTCTCTCATGAAGAATCTATGGAGAACTAAGTTTAAGATCTAATAGTTTAATTAATTTACTTTAATAAAATTACTTAAATGTTCTACTTGCCAAAAGATCATTAAACTTGACCACAACACAACTTAAACAGCCATTCTCTCCAAAAATCCCTCCATAAGGATTTTCTGAAAGAAATAATAATTGCCCCACAAGGTATTCAAACTATTTCTGCCTCTTCACACTAATCTTTTTATAAGACAACAAAATCTGTTCTGTTGATTCCACACATTTTGTTCGTCTTCTTACAGAGTGTGTGGCATCGAAGCTTACAAAGGATATGGACTGATTTCACACTGAACAGACAGGGTGGTGGGTGGGTGTTTTTAGACTCTGGCTCTCGGCATAGACAACTTTGGCTGCAGTCACTTCTCAATATTTTGGTGACGAAAAACACAAACCTGAAGATGGTGTGAAACTGACACCTTCGGCTGATCACCAGGAAACGTCTGTTTTGCAGGTAAATCTCAAAACAAGACAAAAAATGTACACTCTTGGGCATGTGCTCAGCCGAGGATAAAAAAAAAAAGGAAAGATTATCAGGTTGACTGCTTTGATGATGATGACGATTCTCTCTCCCTTTGATTTTGACTAATCCTCTCCCCTCAAAATGAAAAAAAAAAAAAAACTTCTGATTTACACAAATTACAGGGGTCGCCACGTTGAGGTCCGTATAGATGGAAATCTTTTGAAAAAAATCACATCCCAGACTTTTAAATCTGTAGCATACAGTCTTAGATTAATTGATATACAATGCAGTGAGTTCATTTCAGCTGAAGTGCAGCTGAAAAATGTGTTTATCCTATAAATATTTCTAGTATTTCTATCAGCTGATCCATCAGTGGATTGTTTTTACTGTAAATTAGCTCACAGACGGATCCACTAATAGAGGTGGCTTTCAAATGTATCGAATGTAAAAGTTTTCAAACTTGTCACTTGTTTTCAAATGTAAAAGTTGTTTTAAAACACTCCTGTATCTGTGTAAGTGGTTTGTGAAGCTATGATCATAGTAGCCAATCACAGACAATTCTGTTGAGGTAGGGAACACAATGACCAATCAGAAGTCTTTAAAAATCCACTCAACAACACTTAAAAGGAAAGCGGGAAATGCTTGTACCTTTTATTTTTTACATTTCAATACCACTTGTTACCAAAATCTATACTTTTTGACAACTCTAACATCTCGCAATTAAGAAGATGAAGCACCATTAAAGTTTAACACATTTCCCTAAAGCCTTAGTATTTTCCTTATTTTTTACTATTTAAACATTTTAAAGTCCTGTAAAAACCCTAACTACTATTAAGATGAACTCACCCTGTGGCTTTGGACGCCAGCGCTGAGCTTCTGGAAAGGCGAGCATTGACCTCAATGATACAGTACTCCAGGGAGGATGGGTGCAGAGCGTACTGGATATTACACTCTCCCACAATACCCAGATGACGCACCACCTTAATAGCGGTCTCTCTCAGCATGTGGTACTCCTCATTGGACAGAGTCTGACTCGGTGCAACCACAATGGAGTCACCTTTGGGTTAAGCAACAAGGGCTGTTAGCTGAAGCTCTTGAGGATTTACAATGCATGTCCTCATGTCATGTTACTAGTGGTTAAATTTACGCAGTGTATATGGATTTGTGTATACAAGGTCAAACTAGAATGAACCAGACAGTGAAAGGGAGTCCCGTTTAACATGAATACAAAAACAGAATATTAATTATTAAAGTTTTTTTTAAATGGGTAATTGCATTTGGGGAAAAAACTATCCTCAGAGTATTATATTACAATAAAATGTTATAAAGAAATGTATTTACATTTTTATTTGTTACATATGTAACAAAATATTTATAATAATAATAATAATATTAATAATAATAATAATAATAATAATTATTATTATTATTATTATTATTATTATTATCATCATCATTATTATTATTATCATTATTATTATTATTATTATTATTATTATTATTATTATTATTATTATTTATATTATTATTATTATTATTATTATTATTATTATTATTATTATTATTATTATTATTATTAACATAAAGAATTAAATCACAGTAGGGCAGCGCAGGAATCGCTGGTTCGACCCTCGGCTGAATCAGTTAGCATTTCTGTTTGGAGTGATGAATGAATAAATAATTCAAAAAAGTATATTTCAATAACAAATCTAAATTAATCTAATAGTAAGACAATCTAAATGAATAGATGTTTATTTGGTGATGTTGAAATATTTTATTATACTATAACTTATATAACAAATAATTTTGGAATGCAACGAACGGACCTGTATGAAAGAGGACACTACCTGACATAAGTTTTGTCGCCTATCAAAGTTTTAGGAACAACAAATAATAACTTAACTTCTAGTGGATCATTTGGTATCAGAAATGGCTTATAAGAAAGGCAAAGGCTTCTAGATTACAATTATGCCTTGATTTTTAATTATTTAATGAGAGGGAGCGCTATCATGCTGAAGAATTTGCCGTCTCCTTTGGTTTGTAATGTAATGCGCAGCACAAATGTCTTGATAGCTCAGGCTGATGATGTTGCCATCCACACTGCAGATCTCTCGCACACCCACATATTGAATGTACTGTAACCCCAAACTGTGATTTTTCCTTCACTAAACTTGACTGATTTCTGTAAGAATCTTGGGTCCATGTGGGTTTCAATAGGTCTTCTGAAGTATTTGTGATTATTAGGATGCACATCAACTTCGATAAGAAAAAATCTACCTTATGCCACTTTTCCAAATGATAAACTAGAAGCCAAGTTATAATTTGTTGCTCTAACTGGGATCAACGACAAGACTTTTGTCAGGTATTGCGTGTTCTCCATATAAAATGATACCTGTGTGGATGCCCAGTGGGTCAAAGTTCTCCATATTGCAGACTGTGACACAGTTATCAGCAATATCTCTCACCACTTCATATTCCACTTCCTTCCAGCCCAGCAGAGACTTTTCCACCAGGATCTGGCTGCTCATAGCTAAGGCCTGCAAACAGAATGAACTTAGTCTATTTTTATCATGCCACACCATTTCAAAAGCGGCTATATCAATAGGAATTCAATTTTCCTTGATCTTCTTGAGATAAAAGCATGTAATTATTAGCACAAACGATAGCATTCAGATCTCAGTTTCATACCCAATGAAAAAAAGACATTTATTGAGACTCTAAGTAGCAAAAATGTGAGTTTATTAATGGGAACTGTTAAACCTGACAAAAAAATGTCCTTTAAGTAAAGCAATTCATACATTTGAAAAAAAAAAACAAGTAGCATAACCATTCATTTGAAAAGTAATGGAATATTTTCTTAAAATTTACTCATGTTTTGATCAATATTTTTAATCATTTATTAAAAATGTTTTTAATCAATTTATTAAAAATATAACATGCAGAACAAACTAATGAATCTTCTGAAGATTGATTATGATCTGTCACAATCAAGGATGTCAAGAGCATGTATGAGCAGCCCAGTACATTGAGACTAGTAGCACTATGAGTCAAATCTGTTGGCTTTAGCAATCATTGTTGCATTATATACCAAAAGTGACATTTAAAAATGCATGTAACTCAAAGATCAAATATCCCTTTAGATTTTCAACAAACTATTATTTTACCATCCTTACTATTAAAGTCATGCAAGCTTAATCTTCAGAGATTTAGGGATTTTAATGTAGCATGAGAGTAAGGCCTTGTTTACACTAATAAGTTTTAGTTTTTAAATGGCATTTTAGAATGAAAACGATCCACGTCCACATTGGCGTTTCCACATTACACTGCTGAAAACGCACATAACGTGACAACACACACACTCTGGCATGCACTGAGTGATGAGAGCTGCAATTTCAATGAAAATGAAAAAAGGCGGGTATGTTATAGGCTGCGTTTTGTTATAAATATGCATACAGTTAAAATGACAGTCATATTTATATATAGCTACAAGACGCCTTAACATTTTTGGTTCTGTTTAGTTGCTAATATCAACATGAAAATAGGCGGTTCCTTATATGATGTTTTCATTTTATTGTTAAGAAAGTGAAGGTGATGTGAATGATGTTATAAAGTAAACTGTTTCCTCTGAAGATGGCGTGTCCTCGGGAGTTTGTTTTCCATATCAAACTTACGAAGTCTGAACTTACAAGAACAGGATGCAACACTGAACTTTGTTTAGGCTACTTAATATTGAGAAAAAAAGCCCCAATCAGATGTCTGAAGCCCCGCCTCCATTTCCAGATGTCTCCATTTTCCCCCATCTACACTGATATGGAGCAGCCACATTTTCAAATGAAAAAGGCCTCTTCAGTGTTTCCAAAACGCTCAGTTTTTTGAGGCCCAAAAAAAACTCTGGCGTAGTATGGACAGATGGCGTAACTGTAGCAAAACTTATGCAATTTAAAACTAAAACGTGTTAGTGTAAACGGGGCCTTATGGTCAAAAACCAAATGTGACTTCATTTACAGCAGATATTCAATACCTAAATATTCTTCTGGATTATAATTCTTAAACCTTTGTGATAATGAATAAACATTTCTCATTTTAATTTGTAAATAACTTTAGGAAGTTCTATCCCAGGGATATTAAAACAAAATGGAACTCAAAGACTCCAAATTGTTTAATCAAGCCCATTTTTTGTGGTCAATATGAGGCACTTTACATACAGCTGATAAGTACTGTATTTTATGAGGAATGCCTGTACTTGATTTCTCTATGAAACAAAATGTCTTCAGTGTCACATGATCATTCTAATCCCATCATGTTGTGTAATGTTTTACAGTGTTTACCTTGTGAGCGGTGTCCTCTAGCTTCTCTTTATTAGCACACAGGCCGGAGCCAAGCCCACCCAGGGCATAAGCTGATCTCAGCATGACAGGATAGCCAATCTCATCTGCTGCCTTCAACGCATCTGCCACCTTCCAGATAAAAAAAACAATCACGAGTACATCATCAACCAACAAATATCTATTCAAATATTGTCCAAAGATAAAAAAAAAACACACATTGAAAGGTTTCTCATAAAATTCAAATGAGGTAACATTTGACATCTCTCAAGTTTCACAAAACATCTCTCATACCGTTTTAACAGCGAAACTGGGTGCAATCTTTTCATTGATTTCCATTAGTTTGTCTGAAAAGAGCTGCCTGTCCTCAGTGGCCATGATGGACTCCACAGGTGTGCCCAAAACCTTCACTCCATACTTCTCCAGGACGCCACTCTGAAAGAGCTCCACGCCTGAACCCCCCACACACACAGCCATATAAAACATCATCAATCATTCTTTACAGCGTTATCCCATAAGGAAATCTGACATTTGGTATGACTAATATATTTAAATATATGCAGTATGTATATATTTGCAATTCCAATGGTTAAATTTTTTTGCAACATTTTAAAATATTTGTTGCATTACATATATTTTGTGTGCAAAATGCAGACATAAGCTTCAATGTTATGTACCGTTCAAGTCAGAATTATTAGCCCTCCTGAATTATTAGCCCGCTTGTATATTTTTTTCCACAATTTCTGTTTAACGTGGAGAAGATTTTTTCAACACATTTCTAAACATAATTGTAAAAACTAATTTCTATTAACAGATTTCTTTTATCTTTGCAATGATAACAGTACATAATGTTTAACTAGATATTTTTCAAGACACTAGTATTCAGCTCAAAGTGCAATTTAAAGGCTTAACTAGGTTATTTAGACAAGTTAGGATAATTAAGCAAATCATTGTATAATAATTGTTTGTTTAGTAGACAGTGGGAAAAATATTGGATAAGGGGGCTAATAATATTGACCATAAATTGGTTTTAAAAAAATAAACTGCTTTTATTCTAGACAAAAAAAAAACAAATAAGACTTTTTCCAGAAGAAAAAATATTGTAGTAAACACTGTGAAACCTTCTCTGCTCTGTTTAACACCACTTGGGAAATATTTGGAAAAAGAAAAAAATTTAAAAGGAGGATGAATAGCATTTTGACTTCAACTGTATGTAATTTGCATTAATGCAATGTATAAGATTTCTATATGGGGCTAAAGAGGTCATGTGTTGCAATTTCATGTTATACTGTGTCTTTGGAATGTTACAAGCTGTTTGTGCATGTATAAGATCTGTAAAGTCTCAAAGATTAAACTTATGGTTTATCCAGAAAGTATTCATAGCGATTTACTTTTTCCATGTTTTTATTTAACAGCCTTATTGCAAAATGGATTAAATGAATTTATTTCCTCAAAATTCTACACACAAAACCCCATAATAACAATGTGAAAAAATATATATATATTTTTTTATTTGTTGCAAATTTATTAAAAATAAAAAAATGTAAAAATCAAATGTGCAAAAGTATTCACAGCCTTTGCTCAAATCTCTGTTGATGCACCTTTGGCAGCAGTTACAGCCTCAAGTCTTTTTGAATATGATGCAACAAGCTTGGCACACCTGTCTTTGGAAATTTTTGCCTTTTCCTCTTTGCAGTACCTCTCAATTGCAAATCTCTATTAGGTTGGATGAGAAACAACTGTGAACAGCCATTTTCAGATCACTCCAGAGATATTCATAAGGATTTAGGTCTGGATCATGGCTGGGCCACTCAAGGACATTCACAGAGTTGTTGTAAAACCCCTCCATTGATATTTTGGCGGTGTGCTTTGGTTCATTGACCTGCTGGAAGATAAACTGTCGCCACAGTCTGAGCTCAAGAGTACTCTGAAGCAGGTTTTCATGCAGGATGTCTATGTACATTGCTGCATTAATCTTTCCCTCTATCCTGACAAGTCTTCCAGTTCCTGATGCTGAAAAACATCCCCACAGTATGATGCTGCCACCACCATGCTTCACTGTAGGGATGGTATTACCCTGGTGATGAGCAATGCCTGGATTTCTCCAAATGTAACACCTGACATTCACTCTAAAGAGTTCAATTTTAGTCTCATCAGACTCATGGCAAATTCCAGGCGGGGAGTGGCTTCCATCTGGCCACTCTACTATACAGGCTTGATTGGTGGATTGCTGCACAGATGGTTGTCCTTCTGTAAGGTTCTCCTCTCTCCACAGAAGAACGCTGGAGCTCAGACAGAGTGACCATCAGGTTATTAATCACCTCCCTGACTAAAGCCTGATTTATACTTCTGCGTCAAGTGACCGGCGTAACCTACGGAGCATGCAACGCGCGTGGCTGTGCATTTATACTTCTGCACGCTGTCTTTGTTGGTCTGCATTAACACTTCCGAAACGCTAGTTGGCAGTGAGGTGTTAATGTTCCTCTGTGTCGAGTTTCTTCGCTGCTTTTTTGCTATTCCTAAACACTTCCGGGATGTACAAGTGGCTCAAACTCGCTTATTTTGAACCGGCGGACGTGCAGCAACTTTAACTATGAGGTAAACACAAAACAAAACTTTCCATCCGGAGCTCCTTCACGGGACTCCACACTTGTAAACAATCGCTACATTGGGTTCGCGCAATTCACACGGCTCTCGGTCCCGCCTCGACTTGACTCGTCAGCGCTACCAAGCCGACCAATCACAGAGCTTGCGAGAGGTGCACGTCGGTGACGGCGACGGCCACGGCGAAGGGCTATGCGTCAGCGCCGTAGCATACGCCGGTGTTTGACGCAGAAGTATAAATCAGCCTTAAGGCCCTTCTCCTCCGATCACTCAGCTTAGATGGCCGGCCAGTTCTAGAAAGAGTCCTGGTGATTCCAAACATCTTCCACTTACGGATGATGGAGGTCACTGTACTCATTGGAACTTTCAGAGCAGCAGAAATTTTTCTGTAACCTCCTCCAGCCTTGTGCCTCGAGGTGTATGCCTATTCAAATCATGTCCAATACACTGAATACTGTGAATACTGATTTATGTGTGATTTTTCAAGGTTTTTATTTTTAATAAATTTGCCACAATTTCTTTTTTCACATTGTCATTATGGGGTATTGTGAGTAGAATTGAGGAAATAAATTAATGTAATCCATTTTGGAATAAGTCTGTAACATAAAAAAATGTGGAAAATCATCCATGACTTCCTAAAACACATCATTCCAACAGGGCCCCTATAAATCCACATCCTTCGGTGGGAAGATTGTCAACACAGATTTCAAATGTATATGCAAAGAGTGCATAGTTATAGTAATGTTTCCATTGAGGATGTTGAGGAGAAGCTGTAGTTTTTGATATAAAAAGTACTTATTATGCACAATAAAACCTTACCAATTTGTTCTGCTCAAGTCAAGCTAATAAACTGGATCAATCAGCTTAGTTAGCTGCATTTTCTTGATCAAACTCAGCTTTTAATTCATAAAGTACTAAGTTTGTAACATTTTTATTACATGCTTGAAGTATTTGATCAATAACAATGCCTGGATAGCTGACCAATCAGAACACATTGAACTTATCAGAACAATGAGCTTTGTAAAAATGAAAAGAAAAAAGCCAGGGCAGATACAAGCAATGATAACATCCTGTATGCGGAAGACATGTTTTTTTTTACTTTAAACCATTTAAAGACATTGCATTACATCGAAGATGAATTTTTGTTCGCAACAAAATATGACCCGATTGAATTTTGGAAAGTTTGAATGCTCACCGCAGTTGAGAGCTGTCTGTCCTCCCATGGAGAGCAGGATACCGTCGGGTCGCTCTACACTGATCACCTGTGTCACAAACTCTGGAGTGACAGGCAGAAAGTACACGGAGTCTGCTTGCTTGGTGCCAACCTCATTAGTCTGCACTGAGGCAATGTTAGGGTTAATCAGCACCGTTTGCAGGTTTTCCTCCTGCAGACAGAAACACAAATCAAGAAATACTGCTGTGAGATAGAACACCTGTACTTTTGCTTCAAATAGGTCAGTGGTTTTCAAACTGTGGTACAAAACATGACTCTGGAAAAGTACAACCCTAGAGATACTCTGTGTATGTGTGTGCGTGTGTGTGTGCATGTGTGCGTGTGTGTGTGTGTGTGTGTGTGTGTGTGTGTGTGTGTGTGTGTGTACGTGTTTTTGTGACATATCAGGACACAAATCTGTATAATGACATGGGTATGACACAGGTATTACAAAAAGGAGGTGAAATATGAGGACATTGGTGACGTCCTCATTTCTCAAAATGCTTATAAATCACACTGAATGAGTTTAATCAGAGAGTAAAGCTGCACACAGTCTCCTGTGATGGTTGGGTTTAGGGGTGGGGTGGGGTGAGGGCAATACAATATACAGTTTGGACTGTATAAAATGAATGGAAACCTATGTAATGTCCCCACTTTTCACAAAAACAAACATGTGTGTGTGTGTGTGTGTGTGTGTGTGTGTGTGTGTGTGTGTGTGTGTGTGTGTGTGTGTGTGTGTGTGTGTGTGTGTGTGTGTGTGTGTAAGATGCATCAAAGGGATTTTTTGGTCGATATTAATTTTATTTAAAAAAAAATTGTCTGATTCCAATATATTTGTAGCTTTTTTACATTAAAATACATCACAGTTTTGATCACAATTGAAATGTATATAGTTTACATAAACAAATGCATTAAGCTACTGTATATTAGGTTATTGTTGCATCATAAAATCATTTTCATTAAAATAGACTTTGTTCATAGATAAATACACTAGATATCGCATATGGCCCCTGAGCGTGAGTCAATAGCACCACCACATTTGTATAGTGCACTGACAGTGCAAGTTGTTAGTGTGAGTTTTTGCTAGAAAAAGTAGCACCAACTCACAGTAAATACTAGCCTTATGCTAGTTTTGTTGAATAAAATAAGCAAACAATGTAAATTAAATGAGACAAAAAGATGCTGCTGTGTCGGAAACTGTTTTTGAGTCATTGCAAGTTAACGAGTCGTTCATAACAGAGATTTATTCATAAACGAATCATTCCCTCTATATCTGAATGAGAAGTGAAATGGATATGGGGGGGGGGGGTTGTTTTCAGGACACGGTTTAGATCAATAAAATTTAACAGGGAGGGAGGATAACACAATTCCATGCACACAAACACACGCTCTTTGTCGACAATGCCCGTGCAATCACTCATCCATCGATGAAGAAAAGTGTTGTAAAATTATAATTTTCATAATTCCAAAAAAAATTTGCATTCTGACCACCGGGAAAACTCCTGATCTTATATATATGCGTAAATGTGTGTGTGTGTGTATGTATATGTATATATATATATGGCTCTGGATGGTCAGTTCTCCCCTGCACCTTGGTCCCACATTCATTTCAAAGGAGTGCTACCCTGTACTAAAATGGCTCCCCTATTGACGCATTTCTTCCAATAGGCAACAGTAGCATAGTCGACATCTAATGTCTCTAGTAAATATCTATGGACTTTGTTAATATAGCATTCAATATGGCTCCTGATTAACATTTAAAAACACTACCAAATAATTTTTACAAGAGCTTCAGCATATAAAAATACTGCAAGTTCAACAGAAGGTGGCCCCAACATATGATTTTATAGCTCTGCATGTTTAAAAATAGTAACATTACAGGATATAACTCTTAAAAATGCATATTTGATAGTGGCTGGAGATGAGATTCTCAGGGCAACCAAAATTGTGTTAGATTGCCGAAAAAAGGTTGCAAAAAGTGAGCATTTATGCCGAGTTCAGACTTTAGAGTTCAAATTTTAGCCCTGATTTTGACTAGCTGACAAGCTTTGAGAAATCGCAGACAAATGCCTGAAATCACAAGCAAATCGGTGCTCATTCACGTGAGTGACAATAACACAGTGTGAACTATCAAAGGCGTAATCAAAGAGAGAATCGCAGATAAGTCGCAGATACCAGTAAGATTTTTGGCATGCTAAATATCTGGATCTGTCGGCGATTCAAATCATGCTGTATGAACTAGTTCTGACAACAACAGCGATTACGTACAGCTGATGAGAGTGCAGTATCCACTGGTATGGGTATCTGAGGACCAACGGAGTTTGGGGAAAAAGTTTAAAGAGTTTATTTTCAGTTAATATGGACCCAAGAAATGGAGGAAAAACTAGTGTAAATTTAACAAGAGCACCCTCGCTGTTTGACGTCATCTGATCGATACAACCGCTCGAAAAGAGAAAAACTTTGAGGAGAAATTGCTTATTCCCTTTAAAGCCAGGTAAGCATAATAAGTACATTTTCTACCCCATTAAAAGCTTCTTTCTCATTATTTAGTTATTAACAAAAGATATACTACATGACCTCATGTTGTTTCCAAGTCACTTCTTGCGTGTGTTTTTTTGTGAGACAGTTTGGACAAAGTTGTCAGCAATTCTTCCTATTTTAAAGGAATGCAATGTGAAAACCCCTGTCGCTGATTCATCTTATAGTGTAAACAAAGCAGCAACGAAAAGCTACCCCAGATAGTCATGCAGTGTGAAAACATCTGTGACACGATTACTTTAAAAATCGTGCAGTCTGAATTCGGCATTACTTGCAGTTAGGAGAGTTGCAACATTATGCCGTTATATTAAAAGATAAATAGAAATACAAAAATAATAAATATGGCAAAAGAAAATAACAACAAATAACAACAAATAAAGTCAGAATTATTAGCACCCCCCCCCCTAAAAATATATATATATATTTTTTTTTTTAAAATGTTTCCCAAATTATGTTTACCAGAGCAGGAAAATTACAGTATGTCTAATTTTTTTTTCTTCTGGAGAAGGTCTTAATTGTTTTATTTTGGCTAGATTAAAAGCAGTTTTTATTAACCTAGTTAAGTCTTTAAATGTCACTTTAAGCTGTATTGAAGTGACTTGAAAGATATCTAGTCAAATATTATTTACTGTCATCAAAGATAAAATAAATCAGTTATTAGAAATGAGTTATTTAATCTTTTATGTTTAGAAATGTGTTGAAATATTCTATTTGATAAAAAGAAATTGTTGAGAAAATAAACAGGGGGGCTAATAATTCTTACTTCAACTGTATTACAGTATTACAGACATAATGCCATATATGAATTATTATGAGCATACCATCCTTTAAATAATTTAGTTTAGATCTCAAGTTCTCCATATTTTTATTTTATTTAATTTGTCATTTATATTGTGAGCATTTGTCTGTCTTAGGAATGTTTTATAAAAAAAGTATTTATTACATTAGTACAATTTTAAATTATATATATTCTACTATAAATCTATCTATCAAACGTTTGGGTTCAGTAGGATTATTAAATGTTTTAAAATAAGCGTTTCTCTGCTCACCAAAATTGCATTTATTTAATAAAAAATACAATACAAACTGTGAATGTTATTGCATTATAAAAAACTGTTCAAATATAGTTTATAATTTATTTTAATAATCTATTATTATTTTAAAGATGAATTTTCAGCTTCATTTCCCCGTTTTTAGTCACATGATCCTTCAGAAATCACTCTAATATTAATAGTAATAATAATAATTATTATTATCATTATTATTAGTATTATTATTATTATTATTAATACTATTAATGGTAAAAGTAATAAACGCAATAATGACTGGAGTAATCATTTAATTTGAAGCTACATACAATAAGAAAGCAGTTATTCAAAGTTTTTATAAATGTTTCGCAATTTTTAATAATTTAATTACTTTAATTTAATAATTGTAATTTAATAATTTAAATAAATTAATAATTTAGTTACTTTAATTTAATAATTTTATTAAATATATATATATATATATATATATATATATATATTATATATATATATATATATATATATATATATATATATATATATATATATATATATATATATATTATATAAATTTACATATATTTACATAATAATTTACATATGGCACTGTCTATAAAACAGCCAAAAGATTGCCCTGTATGATTTTTTTTTTTTTGTTTGTTTTGCTATTGTCCCAGCTAGTTTAGTAGTATTTAAGTATTTAACAGTCAACGAGCTTTCACATAAAGTATTTCTGCCTGTCCATTGACCACAAACTAGACTGTGGCTGCATCAGAAATTGTATACATTTCTATTATATAACATGTGAAAAACAGTATTTGACAATACAAGTACTGTAGGTGTGAATTCACAGCACTCATGTAGGAGTTGAAAAAACAACTGCTCTGTTGACCTACTACATCTAGCAAAATTCTGAAATGTGCATTTGATGGACACTTTCCCATCTTATGGACCAAGAAAGAGAATTTGTGAAAAATATCTCATATATGATTCAAAACGCTAAAAATGAGTTGCAGTATGAATGTACAAATATGGCACTCGGATGGACTGATATGATCAAAGAAACTATTTGCCAGAAACATCTAAAACGGATTGAATTATGTCAAGAGATTCAATCAGCAAAGATTATCAACTCATCTCACCCTCATAGCTTTGACAGCCTGAGATCCAGAGTAGTCAAACTCTCCAGCCTGACCAATGGACAGGCCTCCAGATCCCAAGACCAGTACTTTGGATACCTTTATAAAGCAAGAACAACTGACAAGTGTAAGCACTCAAACACAAACATGCCACATAGAAGAAAGGACTTCCAAATTGTGTAGTTTGTCTCCCCCACCTGGATTCTGGGAGGAACAGCAGGTTTCTTAGGCATCACGGATGCGATGCTCCCCTCCCTCCCCTTCCTTATCAGAGAGATGAAAGCATCAAACAGGAACTAAAAAAGATAATTGGAGAAAGTGCTCAAGTACACTGGCTGGTTTTTAATGAAATAATCAGTACCCCGCTGTGCAGGGCAGCCAAGTACGAGTCCCTACGGAGGTTTCAACACAACAAGATCAAGAGAGGACATTCAGCCATGAAAAACAGAAAGATCAGACTCTTCAGGATCCTCTGACAGTGCCGCGGTACCTCTGTGTCTGTGGGTCCTCCCTTGGCCTCAGGGTGGAACTGTGCTGTGAACACAGGCTTGGTGTTATGCATAATACCCTGGAAGAGAAATAGAGAAAACAGTGTTAACCCAGATTCATATAAAAAAAGAAAAAACAAAGGTTTTTACAAAAAAAAAATATATTTTTTTTATATATAAATATATATTTATATACAGCCTAATTAGACAAATGCCAAAGTAGCCAAACACAATGTTGAGTTGTGTTACTCAAAAACAGATAAAGCACAAACATAAAGGCATTCATTAAAAACTTTTTGGCCACTTTTACATTTGTTTTCAGCAGTCAGTCATAGTTAAAGGGGCTATTTGTAAGAATGTTCATGCATGAATCTTTTGCTTAAGAGAATGCGTGAACAGCTTGTAACAAAACTTACAGTGTATACATTGCAAATAGTCTATGAAAGCCTGTAGGCTGATTTTTATATCAAAGGCTCAGCATTTTCAGAGAAAAACAAGACAACCTTCTTTCGTTCTATGACAGATGAAACAAATGCTTATACACTACCTGAAAAAAGTCGCTGTCCAAGTTTTAGGAACAGTAAATAATAACTTGACTTCTAGTTGATCATTTGGTCTCGGAAGTGGCTTATAAGAAAGGCAAAGATTAGAGCCTCTAGATTACGTTTATTTTACCAAAATAAAATATGACCATGCCTTGATTTTTAATTATTTAATTATACAATTAGGACAGTAAGGTCTGACTTTGTTTAGACAAAAGACTTGTCACTTAACAGAAATAATGTACTGTATAAAATATAAAGTCATGGTGCAGTAGAAAAAGAACGAAAATTGTCTATGACTCCCATGAGCTTGAAGGACTGCATCCATACATCTCTGCAATAACTCAAATAAAAAAGTTCATCAAGATTTTTTGGATTAATTTTCAATGCCTTACCCCATGCTCAATAATGTTCACGACTGGTGACGAGACTGGCCAATCCTGGAGAACCTTCTTTAATTTTGCAAACTTTAATGTGGAGGGTAAAGTATAAGGACTGCTATCGTGCTGAAGAATTTGCCCTCTCTTGTGCTTTGTAATTTAATGGGCTGATCAAATGTCTTGATACCGTGATGTTGCCATTCACTCTTCAGATCTCACACACACCCTTATACTGAAGATATATACAATAGTCTAAAGTCTCTATCTATTTTTCATAAGAGTGCTCTCTTAATGACCTCATCTATCAAAATAATGCCAAAGGAATTGCAAACATAACTCTTTCGCTGTGATTAGAAGTCTTCAGTAATGTTGTTTTCTTATTGCTTTTGTAAAAATTGTGTTATTTTGTTACTGAGAGGAATGCACACATATTCAAAGACTGGAAACATATCAATTCCAGCAGGATGGGCAGCGTCTAGTAGTTTGTTATCATCTTATCATCTTATTTTAATCAAAAATTGGAGAAAAAAAATTTGCACTAAATATTTCAGGTAATTAAATCATATTCAATCTCTTTTAGATGGATTACACGTGCACAATTGCAAGCACCAGCAATAAGTGACCACATAATGACCACCAGTGTCACTTATACCAAGTGATACTAAATTTTAAACACCACCCATTTTAAGTGATACAACAATTGCAAGTCTATTTTTGCTGTTTTAAGATCACAAAACTACATTTCTTTCTATTATTCACATTTTCACAAGTGCTAGATTGGAAAAACTAAAACATAAATGTGAGTGACAGAATTGTAACTATTTTTCGAGTGCAACACCCCTCTTCGGCTAAAAGGAGAGGCACAGACCTCATTGGTTCCATCATTTGCATTGATGAAGAGAGGACTCCAGCCTGGAGGAAGAGACTCGCTGTCTATGCCATACCCATGATTCTGAGCTGTGATGAAAGCCTGGCCTGTCATCACATTGACAACAGGCTGGTTTTGGCCCCTGAACCAAATGAGAACAAAGTCTTTTTAATTAGTGTCAAAAGAAATATGCTTTCTCTTCTTCAGCAATAGTAATTCTGCACTGCATTTGATTCCCACATTAAGTCAAATATGACACATAATTATAACATTATGATTTATATACAATAAAATATATCAAATAATAACTTGTACCTGTTTCCCATTGGTAGTTTATAAGACTGAGCACCAGCCGCAAGGGCTGTAATTTGATTTCCCATACAAATACCAAAAACTGGCTGTGGACGGTCGCTTTCCAGTACCTGAAAGACAACATGATGACAGGGTGTGAATTATGAGCATAATATGACAATTTGTTGATCTTAAAATATCCATATTAGTTTGTGGCTGAATTCCTTTTCGCTTGTTTTTCAGTGTAAAGAAGTTATTTAATTACTGTAATCCACTTCACTTTAATGATGTGACATATTTCCAGGAAAACCAGAGCCATAATTTGATTGAATAAAATAGTGCTCAAATACATGTACACTTTACATATTTTGATATGTTTATTTGTGTATATTCGCAGATTTCACCCCTACTTCACTCTTTTGTTGGACTGTTTTAAGTTATATTAGGACATGCGAAAGTGAAAGAAAGAAAGACGGAGCAAAACCGGAGTTTATTGTTTTACTGCATGAGAATTTAGTAAACATCTTTTATTTGAACGAAACCCAAGTCTATTTATTGCCTGGCAATTGATTTCCTGAAAATCAAGATTTTACAACCTGCATGTTAATAGTAAAACTGTGTCCCAAAATGCAAGTGTCAAACAAAAATTTGAATGTTATTTATTTAATTTTAATTATTTATTTATTTTGGAATAATGCATACAAATAAATTGTTCAGTTGTTCAGAATGATACTATCTATCTCGCATACCTTGCGAACATTTTGAATCAGGGTCTTTGCCAGTGAAGGATCTCCTGGACCATTGGAAATGAAGAGACCATCATACTCCAAACTCATCAGGTCTTGGTCCCACGGCACTAAATGGACCTCTGCTCCACGCTAGGATGAAACAAATATAATTTTGAAATATGACAAGCTGTAGTGTCTATTGCTTCAAAATATTGCAAGAAGAAGATTACAGCTAGGCTTGTCACAATATCTATTTTTGTTGTACGATATAATGCACCAAAAATATTGCGATAAAATATATTATTGTCATTTTAGGGCCATTTTAAGCCACTCATTCTATAATGCCAGACTGACAATATACACGGCGGGCCATTTATATGGATAAACCTTAATAAAAGGGGAATGGTTGGTGATATTTACGTCCTGTTTATGGCACAGTAGTATATGTGAGGGGGCAAACTTTTCAAGATGGGTGGTGACCATGGTGGCCATTTTGAAGTCAGACATCGGGGATCCATCTTTTGTTTTTTCAATATGAAGAGGGTCATGTGACACATCAAACTTATTGGGAATTTCACAAGAAAAACAATGGTGTGCTTGGTTTTAACATAACTTTATTCTTTCATGTGTTATTAACAAGCCCCCTCACATATTCTAATGTGCCACAAACAGGACGGTAATATCACCAACCATTCCCATTTTATTAAGGTGCATCTATATAAATGGCCCACCCTGTAATATCATCACAGTGCAAGTACAATCTCCCAAAGAACACATCATATTTTATTCTTAAGAAAATTAAATTAAATTATAGTCATTTTAACAGTTTAATAATTAGACATTGGAATTAGAATGTGAAAATGCGTATCCTAAATAAATATTAATTAATGTTAGCAAAAAAGTGCAAGGTAAAAAGTAACAGAGGCTGTGATATCTGCTACCAGATCTATTTTCAGTTGTCAGGCACCCACATAAAAATATACTATAGTAATTTATAATAAATACTACAGTGTTTTTTAACCATACTGACACTGACACCTCCAATAGAGATAGAGATGTTGTGCAATCAGCTTAAATGTTTCTAGAACTGGTTTTTATGTATGGACAATTTATATTGCATCACCAAAACTGACTGAGGTCAAGTCCATGTGCAAAAAGTTGATATATCAATTATCGTGAAAGGCCTTGTCACAGCCAAAATGCCTTACCTTGACGAGTAGTCTTATAATGTTGTGTTTGATTCCACAGTCAACAGCAACCACTTTGACGGGGTTACCTTTCCCAAACACTTGAATATCCTTAATCAAGGGGAAAGAGGGTGAACACTCACTGAAACTGCAATGCACAGCAATGAACACTGCTGATAATAAAGTATGCTGGTTACCTTGGTTGAGACCTCAGAAACAAGATTTCTCTGGTTTGGGTCTGTGATCTCCACTGGCTGTCCATCAAATTCAATCTTCCCCAAAACAGTACCCTTATTTGAAACAAATTAATACATTTATGATACATTTAGGATACATTGTACATACTTAAAAGTAGTGTCAATGCAAACCTTATCTCTAATGATCTTTGTCAGCATCCTGGTATCTATGCCAAAAAGTGCTGGCACCTGCAGGCACAAGAAAACAAATTGTTTAATACTTACTGTAAAAGTAAATGAAATTAGGAACATTTATTAAGATAAACACACCTTCTCCTCTTGAAGCCACTGTGCTAAGGATTTCACAGAGTTCCAGTGGCTGTACTCAGCACTATAATCCTGAACCAGCAATCCTGACACCTTCCAAAAACGAATATATTGAAACAAATTATTACTGGAGATAAGGGATAAACATACACAATCAACTGTTTTGAATATTTTCAATGTTGTAATGTTCTACACGATCTTATGACCAGCAAAGCTACATTTATTTAACTCAAAATACAGTATCAAATTTGTAAAATATTTTGTGAAATATTAAAACTTATTAAGAAATTAAATCAAGAAATGATAATATACAATTGATAATAATGATATGGCGTTAAAAAGATTATCATACAGTATATGTAGAAAACTGGGATGCACTTTACAAGGTCTTTTAGTAGTAGTTTTAGAACAATTTAGATGTCTTTACCATCACATGAGTAAAAATATTTTGAAATATATTAAAATAGAAACTGGTTGTTTTAAATTTATAACAATCACTACATGACATTATTCTTACTATACATTATATATTATACTGCTTTTGATCAAATACAGTTAAAGTTAATTATTAGCCCCTCCCCTCCCCCCCCCATCAACACATTTCTAAACATAATAGTTTTAATAACTCAATTCTAGTAATTGATTTATTTTATATTTGCCATGATGACAGTAAATAATATTTGACTAGATATTTTTCAAGACACTTCTATACAGCTTAAACTGACATTTAAAGGCTTAACTAGGTTAATTAGGTTAACTAGGCAGGTTAAGGTAATTAAACAAGTTATTGTATAACGATGGTTTGTTTTGTAGACAATCGGGGGGAGGGGGGATTTGCTTAAAGGGGCTAATCATTTTGACCATAAAATGGTTTTTAAAAAAATGTAAAACTGGTTTTACGCAAGTCAAAATAAAACTAATAAGACTTTTTCCAGAAGAAAAAATATTATCAGGCATACTGTGCACATTTCCTTGCTCTGTTAAACATCATTTGGAAAAAAATGTAAAAAGAAAACAAATTCAAAGGGGGGCTAATTATTCTGACTTTAACTGTACATTCAGTTTTGATAAGCATAAAAGTTTGTTTTTTTGGAAGAGGTTTCTATCAAAATATTGTATTTAAGGCATGTATTTCATTAGTTTGTGCATCCAACACATGATCTTAGTATTGCTTTTACTTTTTAAACTACATAGATTACCTGAATCCGATCAGACTCCACATTTTTCTTGAGTCCCAGCTCATCCAGCTCCTGTGTATTGGGGACACCATAGTTTCCCACGATAGGGTAGGTGAGGGTCAGGATCTGCCCCCTGTAACTGGGGTCTGTAAGAGCTTCAGGGTATCTGGAGATAACACACAACACTTAAAGCTAATACCTGTATGATAGTAACCAAAAAAATAACAGAGTGGAACTATAAATATTGATTTAAAAGACTAAAGCTTTAGGAGTCGTTAAAATTTTGAGAAGAGATTTCAGTTTAAAAACTGTATTTGCAAGAGCGTTGCAAGAATGGCTGGTAGACTGAAGCTAGTCTGAAGCACTGGCTTAAAATCTTAGCAGGAGTTCCAGCTGAAATATTTGGTCTCAAGATTTGTCATCTGGAAAGTTGTTACCTCTGCACTTTCACTGCTGACAAAACAATATATTTATGCATGACCATATTCAGAGGATGCCTTCTCACCCAACTAGTCCTGTGTTGAAGACCAGCTCTCCAGCTGCAGACTGATCATGGCCAAAGGAGTAGCCCTTCATCTTTGTGCCATCTTCGAGCACCAGGTGTGCAGTCTGAGCCTAAAACAGTAGAATGAATTTAAAAGCAACAGATGTATTCTTTAGATGCAATGTGACACTTCATAACCCATCATTTTCAATATATATAAGTATGCTGATAAATACATGTAAGTATACTTTTTAGTCTGCTTTTTATGTAGATCTCAGAAGTATGCTTACAATTACACACATGCATAGTTTTTTAGTTACACTGACATAAGAAAATTTGAAAAGCCTACAGTATACTTAGTGTTATATTAGAGATTAGATATTCTACTTGACTTCTCCAGTAGCTGTGTGTACTCTTGTCTTGAACAGACAACTTATATATAGTTTTATAAAAAAGTTACATGTTCAAGTTTATATATTAACAAGTCGGCTTTGGGGGAATAGCTTAGAATAAATAAATGTGCATCTGGACATGATCTTGTTTGGTAGTGCACAAAGAAACAGAGTCAATTGTTAAATCATGAAAGATCAATGTGCTATTGTTTTTTTTTGTGATTTTTCTTTTCATAATCACATTTTCAATCAACATTTATGAGCATAATCATGTCTGTAGTAAACAAAACTAAGCATTAGCTGAATGTTTTGACCTACAACATAAAACTGCACACTCTCACATCCCACACATTCTTCACACATAGTACTACTTATTAGAATTATGCTGTATGTAGACTCACATTTTTGGTGTCTAATTTACATTGTGCAACAAGATTTTAAAGTATGGTCAAGTTATGTTTACCACATTTCTTTTTAAATATATATAAACAGTAAACAATAAGTATGTTAAGTTCACGTAAAGAAAATTAGCCTTTTCTACTCAATCAACATTTTAGCATTTTCCACTTCACTGTAGGTATAAAAATCTGTACTTTACTTCAAAAATTACTTTTCGAAACTGAAACATTAACAAGAAATATTTAACTTTAAAGTAATATGCTATTAGTATAAACTAGAAAATTTAAAACAGTAATAAAGTTTACAACAGCTAGCCTACTTGTACAACATTTAAAAATATTACAAAAAGTTGTGCAGTAGTGGGCCAGTTCAGCCAAAGACTTTGGTTCCGTCCAGAGTATTAATAATATTTTGAATTGATTATTATATATTCATACTTTCATTCTTATCAATAAAGATAAGTAGCCTACTGATGAAAATGATTAAAAGAATTTATACACTGTAAAAAGTGATTCATTATTTAAAGCAGGTAAACCAAATGCCATAAAAGCAAACAAGTAAAGACTTTACTAAAAGAATGTAAGTAAACTCATTGTAACTTGGAACTGGTAAGTTGACTTAATTTTTATAATTATGCAAAATGTACTCACTTTTTTTTTTAAATAAAAGAAAACTAATAACTTTTTTTTCAATTCATCTTTATTATATTTGTTTTTCTCCTGCTTTTCTGTTTCTAGCAAAATAACAGTAACTAAAATTAACTTGCTCTTCCAGACTCCAGTGTGTCTTCTAAATTCAATACAGGCTAATTGCAGATTTTATCGATGTAATAAAGCACCAAGTATGTAATATTGTGATAATTAAGTAATTATTTGAAAACAGACGTGCTAAAATTGTCTAATACTGTAAAAAGGGATTAGGTGACTTTAAAAAGTTAGTACAACTTGCATAATTATAAAAAATTAAGTTAACTTACAGTTCCAAGTTACAGTGGGTTTATTTACATTATTATTGTAAAAGTCAACTTGTTGCTTTTAAGGCAATTGGTTTACTCGCTTTATATAACTAATCACATATTACAATGTTCATGGAAGCGTCCACATTGTCCAGATGTAAAATACAGCATTAGATAAAACCCCAACTTTAAAATGATGATTTAACCTTTAAAAAATGTATGTTATATCCAAAGTTGTATACTAATCACATCTAATATGTTAATCTGTTTACTAGTGCAATTTGAGTAGACTTCAACCACAGTGTAGCAAAAATCCTGGTTGCCTTAAATTTTTAAGATGAATCAAATTAACCTTATGAGTTCATTGAACTTATATTTTGTTAAACTGACTTAAAACAGCTTGCATAACTTTAAATTCAATTAAAACATGATTAACTTAGTTTAATAAGTTATAGTCAACTTAAAACATATGCTGTCATGACTAATTGGTTATTTTTTTACAGTGTAGTTATAGCCACATAAGGCGCACTGAATAAAATGAACATACAGTATTTTTGCAAGTTGAAATACAACTTCCAGAATATTTGATTGTCATTTGACATAAATAAATGATTAACCTTATTTTTCTTACCTTGAATCTGCAAAATAAACCGTTTAACCAAATAACACACACACCTTCAAGCTGAGCAGCCGCGTCGATGATCTCCAGCTTCTCCATCCCAGCCTCAGTGATTTGGCAACTCCACATATTGTTAATATTTTTGACATATTCTTTTCAGAACTGTTATATCCTCCTTAAAATATGTGAGACTAGATGTAGATGCAAATTTAGAGAGTGTATCAATTTTTTCACGCACCGCTATTTACCTGCTGACGCCGTGGGTAAAGTTTGACTGAGTATCTGTTGACAGAAAGAGCTCCTGACACGCTCAGCGCTTACTCAGCGAGCTGTGCTCTGATTGGTCGGTGTGACGTCGATGGCTAAAGATCTTCCACAACAGTATTATTATCAGTGTTTCAAATCTGCAAATCATGTTTGTGCCTCTTTGTAAAACAGCGAATTAGAAATATGAATCTTCTAATGATGCTAAAACAACTAATGTAGGCTAAGCTAATGTTTTATTAGAGGATTTTAAATTTAACTATATAGCACTGATGATGCTGATTAATAAAATCAATTGCTAGGCTCGTAGCCAGAGGGGGTTCACTTACAAAGGTCCAGAATCTATCCCCTACACAAGCTAATTTGTCCTATTTCGACTGCTATGCCTTAATAAATTGTGAAAATATGCATTGGAGAAGGCTTTAAGGGAGCGAATAAGTGGCGCAGTAGTGCTGTTGCCTCCCAGCAAGAAGGTCGCTGGTTCGATCCTCGGCTCAGTTGGCGTTTCTGTGTGGAGTTTGCATGTTCTCCCTGCATTCACGTGGGTTTCCTCCGGGTGCTCCGGTTTCCTCCACAGTCCAAAGACATGCGGTACAGGTGAATTGGGTAAGCTAAATTGTCCGTAGTGTGTGAGTGAATGTGTGTTTGTGGATGTTTCCCAGAGATGGGTTGCGGTTAGATGGGCATTCGCTGCGTAAAAATGTGCTGGATAAGTTGGCGGTTCATTCCGCTGTGGTGACCCCAGATTAATAAAGGGACTAAGCCGACAAGAAAACGAATAAATGAATGAAGGCTTCAAGACCAAGCAGAATCCTCTTTTGGCTGTTGCTTCAGCGTGACTGAGGAAAGTTAAATGTGCTGCCCAGTTTGTGTTTGTAAAGGACATAACATGACAATAAAAGACAATAGGCTAGATTTTAATTTAAAACTTGAACATCATCCTTTTTTTCTTATGATATGTGATTTGAAAAAAGTAGCCTATTATTCTCGTATTTGTTTTTTTGGTACATTAAAAAGTGTGGTTGATGATCATCCGACAAGCTAATCCAGCAAAAAAAAAAGTTTAAAAATTATTTAAACCTCATAATTAAATACTAAATTAGGCAAAAAAACAGCAAAAATGTCTATATTTTAAGAAAAAGAACCACCCCTTTCAGCAGGCTGGCTATACAGGTCTAATTGCGGTAACTACATGGAATCATCGACATTATCTAGATGTAAATTACAACATTAGGCAAAGTTTAAAATATTATGTTTAACTTCTAAAAAATTAAAGTTATATTCAGTTGTGTATACAGACTAGTAACATCTAATATGTTAATCTGTTTACTAGTGCAATTTGAGAAGACTTCAATCATAGTGTGTCACTGTGGGAGGGGGAAAATTGGATAAAAACAATGTAATGTGCTTTGAACAGAAAAAAAGGATGGAGAGAAAATACATGCAATATGGCGACATAACATCATAGTTCAAAACACCAATAAACAGCTCAGACCATTAATCTTTAGTGACTTATGTTAATAGCCATGCAAGCCACAGCACTAAAATAAAAATATAAATTATTGATTTGGTATTTTTAAAAGTAAACTCTAACATTCTAAGGAAGAAGCATACAGACTGATGAAACTACAGCACTCCCAGACCATGCATTCGCATTCGCAACTTCGCTACAGTGAGCAAATCCCTGCTCTTTTCCTCTTCTTCAGACAATAGCGAGAGCCCCCATCAGAGGATTAAAGTTAGTGCAGGACTTTGCTGAGCATGCTGGGAAAGCTCATAGCCAAGGCCGCCACTCTAGTGGATTCAGCAGTCTGTCAGAAACAGCACATAATGTGTAGCACCATTCAGCAAAAAACAATATGGATCAACTCTGTGTGACTTAAATGACCTCTGAGCTAACATGCCATGTGAAATGCTGAGGTGATTGGTCAAAACTATGGCAGGTCATCTGCGGTGACAACTTGAATACAAACTAGGTCAAGGCCTGTTTGACAGAATTTTCATGCGTGAACTGGTGTGAACTGGTCCCACTAACAATTTATCTGATTGGTTATACACACTTAAAAAATATCTGTACACATTATACAAAAGTAATTCAAAATTAGTCTCATGGCATCAAACCAAAAACCCACTATCTATCTATCTATCTATCTATCTATCTATCTATCTATCTATCTATCTATCTATCTATCTATCTATCTGTCTGTCTGTCTGTCTGTCTGTCTGTCTGTCTGTCTGTCTGTCTGTCTGTCTGTCTGTCCGTCCGTCCGTCCGTCCGTCCGCCCGCCCGCCCGCCCGCCCGCCCGTCCGTCCGTCCGTCCATCCATCCATCCTTCTTAAAATTATAAGTGGTCAACTTTTATGAAAAATAATTTACAGAACTTTTATAGAGAAACTCATGTAGTTTAGTTGTCGTTTTATTACATTAAATTATTTATTTGGCAGACGGTTTAATCCAAAGACCAGAGAGACCAGCAAATGAGAAGAGTGCTATAATCAGGGCTATAACCAAGTCAATTTAAGACTTTTTAAGACCCCAAAAAATGAAATTTCAGACTTATATAGGGTTAAACTTTAAGGATTTTTAATGGCCCAGCAGAAAAACCATTACTTGCCCCATTAAAAAACTAATTCTAACTACACTGTAAAAAAAAATCCTGGTTGTCTTAAGTTTTAAGCTGAATCAAATTAACCTCATGAGTTTGTTGATCTTATATTTTGTTAAACTGACTTAAAACCACTTGCATAACTTATCAAATTAAATTAGAACAATAACTTAGCTTATTAAGTTACAGTAAACTAAAAACACATGCTATCATGACTGATTCTTTTTTAGATATTTTTTACAACAAAACTTTTAAAAAATGTTTAAAAACTAAATTTCCTCACAACAGACTGTTATAATATCTGTTATGAATACAGTTTTGTTAACAGTTTTATTGAGATGTGTTGTTGGTGATTGGATGTGTGTTGAATAGATCATGTTTTACATAAGCAAAGGAAAATTAAGTCGTTCAAAATTATTTAAGACCCACAAGACATTATTTTAGTGAATTTAAGATGTTTTTGAGCCTAACATTTTTAAAGACTTTTTAAGACCCTACACCATGTATAATACAAGTTTTCGCAAATTAGTAAGTAGAAAGTATTTTCTGTTCCATTTTTTTTTTTTCATAAATTAAAAAAAATGAATAGAAAGTTCTAGTAATACCAATGAATGATGAAAAAGATGTAGCTTCATGAAAATGTTCTAAATTGAGAAGTCATTGCATCAGGAAGGAATTTATATATTCTGAAACTTTTTTCCAGAAGCAATAACAAAATGTTTGGCGCTTTAAAAATTATATGTGTCAGTTTTCACCCGACAGAAAACAGTGATGTAGTTAGCAGTGCATGTACATCAGAACTTTCTCTTTGACCTCCTAAACCTGAACCTCAGTCGGTTTTATCTGTTACTCTGGATTTAAGCCTAATAATCTAAAATTAGATCTTTAATCTTAAAGGAAAATACATCTATACCTCACATGTTTTTTTTTTTTACTGGAACAGTATTTTTAATAATGTTAACTGGACTCAAGTATGGTCATTACCTCAACATTTTTTATTACAAATAAGGCTAAAGAAATATAATTTAAATTCCTTCATAAAGTTTATCTTACAAATAAAAAAATCAACTAAAATTTTGAATTGATATTGAGTTAGAATGCTGTTTTTGTGAAAGCTTTAATGAAACTATTTCACATATATTTTGGTCTAGCCAATATATCCAACTTTTTTGGATTATTGTTGAAGCTTTTATTGCTCATAATATTTTAAAATCATTTTCCTTATCTTATAAACCTGATTTTGGGTTATTGTGTTAAGGATACGCTTTAAAAGATGCTGGTTTTGTTATAAACTTTATTTTATTATTATGTCAATTTAACGTACATAAATCAAAGTTTGCTAAAAGCAAATCTTTCTTCATGGTGCTACAAAAAGATTCAAATGTATATAAAAGTGATTTTCAAGTCTAAAAAATAGAAAAGCAGTTAAAGCAGTAAATATATGCTCCTCCTTAACATTTTTACATAAAAATGTTTGTATATTTGCATTTTCTATAGTAAAAGTACATTTAATAACTCTTGTTAATTGGAAAAATGTGTGTAATGAATCTATATGTAATTTGATAATTATGTAAGCCTCTTCTCTGTTCTTGTTATTACAGTTTTTCTCAGTTGCTTTTGTGCGTTTCTCACAACACCAGTGCATTTCTGCACAACAGTTAATGCATTTCTCAAAACAATTAGTATAAACTGCAAAACCTAGCTGATAACCTGCAAAAGCACGTCACATGCTCATGGATTGTTCATTCATCAAAAGCAAGTATATTCATGTCAGTCAAAGTGTCAGTATCATCAAAATGAAAAGTCCTGATAGCATTGTTTATGAACAAGATAGTCAAATTGCTATGTCATGTTTTCATTATGACAGTTTACTCTTAACATTTTTTCAATGCAAAAAAGTCAGATGTTGATGACACTTCCTGAAAATTCTCAAGACAACACTCTATACTATTTGCACAGCCATTTGAAAACCACAGCAAAGTTAGACATCACTGCATTTAGTGAGGTATCTGAGTACAAGACACTGATAATGTAGGTTTCACATTTTTACTGCATATGCTCGTTGCAATTTTTATTTATTCACAGCATTGTGCAGAAAAATAAATACACCCTTATTTACAACAAGCATAAAAGGTGGGCACAACTGTAAACAATATTGCAGAACATATTGGAACTGAACCTACAACATTCACAGGTCTGTAAATCATTCATTAAATTGTTCGATTTAGAAGACATTTTCAGAAAAATATATTTATTTAAAATATATTTTTTTGATAAAATTTGCTTGACATATTTTGACAACTAGTTCAAAATGTTTTGCATGTAATGACTCAAGTAATGAAATGAGGACTATTAGTTTTATATGGAATGACTATTCAGCATTTACAAGTTTAGTTAATTTTGACTGACGTGACATAAGCAAATGATAATGTTATAAATAGCAGAGAGTTGTATGAAAACAAT